ACCGTTTTATGGCATTTCATTTTTATAATAATAATAGGAATCTTTTGAATCCATAAAGGGAGTAGGAAGTACATATCATTAATGTAATTTGTTTTTTCTTATTATTCATCTGAGTGATTTTTTATGCTGTCATAATCATGGGTTAGGAACTTAAAGCCACTAGGGACATCCCTTGCTCAAGTCTGCATTCTATTTTCTACAAAATTAAACACATAAGATCAAAGAAAGCACAGGCATACAATATACAGTACTGTGTATCTGGATACATACCAGTGATAGAAATTCATTACTGTGTTGACATAATAACCATGTTTATTACCTCCTTTAATTAGCCATTATTAATTGTGCCCACCAAGAGCTTCTTTTTTTTTTATTGGTACCTATAGTCATTCTTCTTAAGACAATAGGTACAACTGACCAGTTGTTACTGGGAGGTTTTCTGTGTACGTACATAAAAAGAGCATAGAAATGATTACTAATTGTTTTAGGCTTCAAAAAAGTTGACTGTAGCACTGTGTCAGCTGCTCTGGAGTTATTCTGAAACATCCAGAATTGATTTGCTTCTAAAAGCAGGTTTCATTTAGCAGTCTAACCTCTAGGAAAGTTCCCTATTGACAGAAATGGTCTTGAATTAACTAAAAATATAAAATCCAATAGCACTATCAAGGTAGAAAAAGCTTCAGGTTACTATTCAAATAGCTAAAGCAAAGGTTACTTTTATCATTCAGCAAACTTGTTTCAAAATAGGCTCTGGGCTCACTGTCAGTTTTTGTATTTTTTAGTAAAACTTGGCAATTATATAGTTCAATGGTACTCCAGCTTTTGGCCCTGCAAGCCAGAATAGTAGTGCAGGGCTGGTCCATGGGATAGGGCCCAGTGCTGCCTCCACCTGGTCCTGTTTGCCCAGAAAGGGCCCTCTACTTCCTTGGCTGACCTCCATATGCTAGGATCAGGCTGTTGAGCTCTGCCTCACACCTGCCTGGACCCATGCACTACGATCAAGTTCTAGAGCCCAGCATCACCTCTGCCCAGCCCTGCGAGCTGGAATCAGGCACCTGCACACCAGTATTAGGTCCTGTGCACCAGGACTGGACCCTAGGGCCTGACACCACTGCTGCCTGCACCAGGATTGGGCCCTGCATTGCTCTCATGCCTGTTCTAGTGTACAGGGCCTGGGGCTCCCCACAGGTGCAGAAATTTAGCAGCAGAAGAGCAGTGCCACCATGCCCTCGCTCCCAATTTTTTTGGCCCATGGAGAGCCCCAAAGGTTGGATTATACTGCATTGGGGGCTGGATCTGACCCATGGACTGGGGGCTGAGCACCCCAATATAGTTTATACTTGCAGCATCTAACTCTAAGATTATTCTCTGAGACAACTGGAGGGAAGTGGTGCTCTCCCATACCTTGGGGGTCTTTAAGAGAAGGCTGGATAGGCATCTGACCCCAGCACTCTTTCCTGCCTAGGCAGGGGGTCCGACTTGATGATCTGTTGAGGTCCCTTCCAACCCTAGCATCTATGAATCTATATGGCACCATGAGTTACAGCGGGGAGCTGCACATCTGTTAGCACCCAAACCAGTAGCAAATATCTTCTGATGTGTCCTGGAAAGAATGAAAGAAATTTTCACCTTTCTATGGAAGGATGTCAGTCAGCCATAGGCGGCGGAAGTGGGGGGGGCTAACAGGGCTTAGTGCACCCAAACACAGGTTAGCAGTAGAGCTGCAGGGCAGCCTGGCCAAGGGCTTCTGGCAGCTGCAGCAGAGGTGGGGAGTGGAGCTGGGGGAGAAGTAGGCATTGCACAGCCAGCAGGGTGCGGAATTAAGCTGTGAGCGGCTCATCCAGGGGGTCACGGCTCCTGCTGCTACATGCACCCCAGGAGGCATGGGTGGCGTGGGCCCCCAGATCTGTGTGGGGCAGGGCAGGCTGTCCTTGCAGACTGGGGCAAGGGCTGCACTGGTTTCTTCTGAATCAGGGCGGGGTGGACACTGGAGTCCCAGGGTCTGTGTCCCCTCTGGCCCAGCAGTGCAGGTGAGGCTGGCTCCACTCTAGGCCCTGGCTCTGGGGCCCTCGGGTGGTGTTCGGCCAGGGGCAGGGCCGGTGCGGGAAGGCAGCTGGGGCTGGGGCGGAGTTAGAGGGGCAGGAGGTGGTGCTGGCGAGTGACCCCGAGTGTGAAGGAACAGGCAGCTGCACAGGTGTAGCGGGCTCCGGCCCCGATCCTGGACCCAGCTCCACTGCCTCCCAATCCCTGTCTGGCCCCAGCCCTGGCCCCGGCCACACTCTGTCCCACCTCTTTCCTCCACAGACTTTCCTGCCTCAGGGTGGGGTGGAGGGGCATCTGTGCACATGTGTGCTCACACTCCGCCCCTCCCCCCCCCAATTTTTCTCCCTCTGCCTATCCTGTTAGCATGTGACTGAGCCCATTTTCAAGTTTTTAAATCTACGCCAACTTACTTCGTTCACTTCAAGGCAGCTTTACAAAAAAAATGCTATTATAATTCCTGAATCCATTCACAGTCCAAGCTGTACTCTCTAATGAAACCAAATCTACCAGGAGTAGATTTTTCATATGATAAACATCCTTCTTCTGGTGGATGTCTTTCTAAGTAATATGACAGCTTAAAATGCAGGGATGTAAATCATTGTCAGTACCACAAAGTAAACTTTGTTGCAGGAACTGAGGCATGTTTAAGGTTGTCTGCAGACTTAGACCCTCATGTTTGCATTACCATTTTCTGTTAGTCACCAAGTACTTCTTGTGAGGTTCTAGCACCCTCACTTCCTGATTCCTTAGATCACTGGATGCCATTTGGATGTTGCATGAACAATACCTAAAATAAATTGCATTGTTTCACATTTTTAAAAGGTTCTTTTGCAATCAAAGACTAGAATCTTATTTTTTCAAAAGAAAGCCTAAATTTTGGAACATAAAATGGCAATTGCTAGGCACAAAATATCAGCTCACTTAGTCACTGCAAGCTAGTCCAACACGATCCTGACAGCTAACATACTCATGACTATTTGAGATATTAAATGGACCGCTTCTAAATTGCCTTGAGCCATGCATGGAATTTAATGGGCTTCAGCAATGCACCTTAATCAACTCGTTCAATTAAAAATGAATATAAACATAACCAATCAAGCTTTTATTTATATATCACTTCAATTAGCTTTGTATTAAATTCAGAATAGGAAATGCCAGCAAACACTACAGATTCCTGTGCTCAGTGTAAACACAACTTTGGAAATAGTACGTAGTGCTGCTTTACCTCAGAACAGAGGAATTCATCAGTTCATTGAGATCTGCTGATCTTAATGCATAAACACGTACCAGACAAAAAGGAGACCTTAAACTACAAGGCTACAGGTTCCTTCTTAATTGATGGTGGGGCAGTGTTTTAAATGCATGCTCCTTCAGCTTTCATAAACTTGGCCTTTATCTTGTACCTAGCTGTACATTCATGGACTTCTCCAAATTTCTCATTTATTTCACACTGTCCTTCACTTCTAAATCTTGACTTTGAGAGCTATTCTTTTAACTAATGCATATGTTTAAAATGATGCAAATATAATTTTGAGCTGTCATTTGGAACTTAGTAATTCTCTTCTGTACAGAAAAGGCATAATAGGGTAAGATTACACTTATCACATGACACTTGTGTGATGTAGTACTGATTAATGAGAATGAATGCTGTCATAAGGTTACCAGTTGCTGATCTCCTGATACAATCAGAGTTTTCTGGGGAAAATATATTTTTTATACAGGAATCAAGTAGACAAGGGAGGACTCTTAAGTGTTAAACATGGTTCCAAAAAATCCTTCCTCAATTGATTTTTGTTTAAAGGGCAATTGTCAGCTAATAAGTCCCAATATATAAAAAGGAAAATCTTGGCAAAATTGGAGTCTCCAACTGAGCTAATGTTCCAGCTAAAGTTTGTCAAATGAAAATTACTTCAACAATTAAATATTCTTGTATGAGGTGGGCTTCAAAATGCTCTTTCAAATTGAAATTTATGGTTCCCTTTTCCTTGATAATGTCTCTTCTATCCTTAGGTCTCAAAGGGATTGGTCCCCGAGTGTTCGGACAGTAAATGGCTTTGGTGACGTTAAAAAACCTCCCACACCCCCCAGTACACTGATGATGCTGTAGTGCATGCTCACTCGGAAGCAGATATTCAGGCAATCACTGAAGTCTTTACCGAGGCATACAAGAAAATGGGACTGATGTTCAACATTCAGAAGACTAAGATCCCCCATCAACAAGCTCTTAATGAGCAGTCCCTAACTCCAGTACTTTGGGTTTATGGTGACACTGAAGAAAGCTGAGTATTTCCCATGCCTCAGAGCCATCTCTCACGGGAGGCTGACATTGACAAGGAAACCCATCACCTCAAATATGCAAGTGCAGTCTTTGGATGCCTGAGGAAGTAGGTGTTCAAGGGTTCAATCCAAAAACAAGCTCATGGTTTATCAAGAAGTCGTGATCCCTAACCTTACTGTATAGAGATGAGATGTGGACAATGTACAGAAGACACCCCACATTGCTGAAATACTACTATCAATGCTGCCTGTAGAAGATACTTTGAATCCAGTGAGAAGACAGATGTACCAACATTAGCATCCTCTTGCAAGCAAAAACCATGAGTATTGAGGCAATGATCATCCAACATCAACTTTGCAAGACTGACCATGTCATCCAGATGTCTGACTCCAGGTTCCCAAAGCAAGTTTTATTCCTGCAACGTAGTCAAGGCATACACTCAAGACGAGGGCAGAAAAAGCGCTACAAGGCCAACTTGAAGTCCGCAAGGCCAACCTGAAATGCAACATCAACATCAGCTCATGGGAGATGATTGCCCAGGACTGCCCCAATGGAGGAAGAGCTTGACTGCAAGGATCTCAGTACTCTGAAATCTCACGACAACAGGAGATAGAAAAGTCAGAGAAGCAAAAACAACATGTCATGGACTAAATCAAGAATCTTGAGCCACCCACCACACACAGATATGCATGCCCAAGTTGTGACAGAGTTTGTTGATCCTGTATCAACCTCACCAACCATCTTCAGACCCACAGATACGGCAGTCATGAAAGATATTCATCCTCAACTGAGAAGGATTGCTAATGATGATGATCACGATTCCTGTATGAAGCAATGTACCAAAATAACATATCAGTAGAACCCTAACTATTAAACTGATTGTAAACAAAAAGGATACTGCCTTCTTCAGTTTTCATCACCAACATGAGCAAAATACGTAAAGGAAACAAAGAATGTAACAAGAACATGTTAACTAGACCTTCAACAAAGACAATGTGAGGGATGGAGTACACATTTTACCTGCTATTTAGCAGAAGGAATTGGATTTAGGAAGCCTTGGCACATAATCCTATGGTCCCCATTATAGAAGAGGTCACATACATGAAAGGAGTTCATTTCTGGCCCTAAAATTCTTCAAAGGAAAAACCAAGAAAGCTGTGTGAAAAATGTTAAGTATCATAACTTCTGACATTCAGGGTGCACCAGTGTATCAGAAATGTCAGCATCAACATTTTGTCCCTTACCTTATGTTCAGATATAAAAAAGTCATTAGAAAATGAAGGATGATAAACTGTTCTCTATGTCCACAAATGACATGACTTAAATTGCAATAAGGGAGAGTTAGGTTGGATATAAAAAAAATCTTTCTAACTTCAAGGGCAGTTAAGTTCTGCAATAGGTTTCTTAGATGAATCTCTGTCCTTGGAAGCTTACAACACAGATTGGACAAAACTTGTCTGGGATGGTTTAAGCAGGGATAAACTTGCAGAGGGTTGAACTAAATAACCTTCCAGCCCTATTTTTCTGTGATTTTTATAATTATTCTTTTTTAGTTTTAGGCTAAATATGTTCATTCAAGTGCTGGGTAAACTAAAGCACTAGTGCAACTATTTTATACACCTTGTTAACCTATGGAGGATGCTTTATTTACATTTCCCTGATCATATACTTCTTGCAACACCCTCACCAAGTTCCCCTGGGGCTAAGGTGCTCCTGAAGATAGGCAAAACTGCCCTTAGCAACAAACTCAGAGCCTCCAGCAGAATGCCTCCAAGACCTCCATATGTTCACAGTGGTATCATGTCCACCACTACGTCCCTCTACAGTTAATGGTTGCTCAGGCCTGTGCAAAAAGAAAGTCCTTCCTGCCCCGTAAGTGACCAGGAAGGAAGCAGACCTTACACTTCCATGTGAACAGGGTCTGTAAGTCTGCCTGCCCATGCATGAGCACACAAAAAGAATATATGCTGCATTTCAGTGTAAAAGCAAGGTAGAAACTGCCTGGAACCTCACTAGGAACATCTTACACACATTTTGCATGCTACAATGGCACAAGTGATGTCATTCGGCAATGCATCACTTACCTTTTACCTTTCTATAGGTCTCTGCTGAAACAGGTCAAAGAAGCCAAGAAGGTTACATTTAAGTTACATTTACATTTAATCTGAGGACTCTAACACTCTCAACATTGATAAGATAGGTCCTGGAACCTGCTCAGGTAACATTTCTTTCTCCACGCAAGGTTTTCTTCATGCTGTTACTCAACAATATTTGCCCTACAATGAAAACTTTTTAATATTTAAGGTGTAAATGTGATGGGAATGTATATCTAGTGCCCCATGTAGTCTGCAGTTTCACAGCCATTGAATCTTCTGCAGAATCTTCCCCTCCCTGTATAGCATTCTGGGGTATAAGTTTGCATTTTATACATACACACACACATATACACACATATATATCTCCAGCCCTCAATGTAGTGAAGACGCACTTGGAAAATGAGAGCCACGTGTAAAACCATGCGACTTGTATCTCTGGGTCTGCAGGGGAGTCTGAAATACCAGGTCCAGGCCAGATTTGGTTATTATTTGGAGTACTCAGTGTAAAAATGAATTACAACAGAAAGAAGTGAACAATTCCAGACTTACCTCAATGTAGCCTTAATTCTAAAGCCTAAGTATTACAGTTTAAGTAACAACAGTGTTAACTATTTCAACACCTATAATTTTAGTGAAAACAAGTGTGCTTATTTGACAGTCCCAAAAGATACTGCCCACCTTCCCTAGTACCAATAATCAGCTTCCTGCCATTCATCTGTTAAACAGCTTCTATTTTGTTTTGACAGCACCATTCTCTGTGGCATGTTGAAAAGCATAACTGTCAGAGCAGTTATGAGTTACTGTACTGCTCGGATGCTTAATTTCATTCACGTAATTAAAAACTTAATTTGCAATTCAAAAAGCTTTTACCAACGTTGTTGCTGGGTTGTTGGTTGTAACCATGTTGGTCTAAGGACATAGGCACTAGCAAGCAGTTCTTTAGGTAGATGTGATATCTTTTATTAGACCAACTAAATAGTTGGGGAAAAAGTTATTTGCAAGTTTTTGGGCACAAACACCTGATGAAAGGCCTTTGTGCCAGAAAGCTCGCAAAGAACTTTTTCCCAACTATTTAGTTGTTTGAATAAAAGAAATCCCATCTACCCAAAAAACCTTTACCAACCTTCTCATTTGCTGCACCAGAGTACTGCAGCATCCAGGCATTTTGCTACAAAATGTAAAGGCAGTCAAATGCAGAGTATAGCTCTTGCTACTTTGCAAGAAACCACCTGTGGAAGGACACAGACACAAAACTCCATGAGTTAAACAGCATATCCTCTCATTATTACCTACAGCAAACGTATTCACTGTATTTCGATAAAGTCCTGTGTGGTACTTGGAAGATGAACACTTCTTTCAATATCTATTAATGTATTAGCTCATGAAATATCAATTCTGCTGAATTCATATTCCTGGACCTGTTCACCCTTCACAAGAGAAGGCTGAGGGGACCTAGTGGCCATCTATAAACTTACCGGTGGGGACCAGAGGGAAATGGGTGAGACCTTGTTCCCCCGAGCGCCTCCCGGAGTAACAAGGAACAACGGCCACAAGTTGATTGAAAGTAGGTTCAGGCTAGACATCAGGAGGCACTACTTCACAGTCAGGGCGGCTAGGATCTGGAACCAACTTCCAAGGGAAGTGGTGCTTGCTCCTACCTTAGGAGTCTTTAAAAGGAGGATAGATAACTACCTGGCTGGGGTCATATGAGCCCAGTATTCATTCCTGCCCAGGGCAGGGGGTCAGACTTGATGATCTGTTCAGGTCCCCTCCGGTCCTATATCTATGAATCTATTAATATAAGATTTCTTCAGGTGAATGCACCGTTGCTTACTAACTGACCATTAAGAAACAGTGAAGCAGGATGTCATGTGCCACTGCTGTTTTTTGCAAATACCTAAGAGATGTTTAAATAGGCCAATACAGCATGTCCTGGAGTGCCTTCATTCAGTAACAAAAGCTTTCCTTTCCCAAAGAATTGCTCTGGAGCCGGCCAAAATCGACTGCCCTGCTGACTGCTCCACTAAAGGCTGCCCCAATGTATTCTGACAACTTTGGGAGCTCTCTAAAGCTGTGATTTCAGAAGGGGAGTCACGCCCGGGACATCTCACCCCTCCACACCCTGCCAGCTCTCCCTGCGGAAAGTGCTTTTTTGCCCAGGCAGGTCTCACTTTGGGCCCCTAACTCCAGCTGTGAACTGCCGGGCCAGAACCCAGCGCACACAGTGGATTAAATCCGAGGATTTCAGTGCCGGCTGCAACACCCGGCTCAGGGCCTACAGCTCTGAAAACCATTTTGGACCAAAGATACCGGCAAGACTCCTTTAAAGCAAGACCTGCCCCATGCGGCGCGGCGACCTGCTCCCCGCCGGCACTCCGTGGAGGCCTGGCCAGCAAGGGGCGGAGCCTCCCCTTACGTCACCGCGCTCCTCCAACCAGGGAGCGGCCCCTCCAGCCCGCCCCGCCAGCGACAGCCAATGGTGAGCGGCAGGACACACCTCCCACCAATAGGAAGCGGCGTCGTTCCTCTGCGCTGCCGGGGCTGAAAAAGAAGGGGGGGGGCCTTAAAGAGACAGCGCCGGGGCGCCCGCGGAGTGCGGTGAGCGGCAGATGGCGGCGCTGGGCGGCTGGGTGCTGTACTTCGCCTACGGCAGCAACCTGCTCCGGGAGCGCATCCTGCTGCGGAACCCCTCGGCGGCCTTCGCGGCGGTGGCCCGCTTGCAGGTCTGTGCCGCGCTCCCCCTCTCCTTCCTCACACCTGTGCTTGCAGGGGGGGGAAACTGAGGCACGGAGCGCGCGCTAAACGTGACGCGTGAGCGGCGGGGGGTCCCCCGGCTCGGCTACCTCAGACCTGCTGGCGGCTCGGCCACGAGGCGCGCGGAGTGTGCGTCCAGCGCCCGCCTGCCCGCGAGTCTCGGCCGCCTGCCGCCGGGCCCGGCACGGCACGGCACTGCCCGGCAGGGCTTCTGGCTTTCCCTGATTTAAAACAATCCCGTGTTTTCGGATGTAAAAAAAGTAACCCCAAATCCACGTTTTTTCCATGATTAAAATGAAACGCCATTCTATGTCTAGATCTGTATAGCTAGATAACTAGATATAACTATAGATATATTTAGTGGTGTTTCATTCCACAATCCACGGATTAGGCAAAAAATTGTCTGGGATGGTTTAAGCCAGGGACAAGTTTGTAGCAGGTTGAGCTAGATAACCTCTTGAGTCCTGTCCAGCCCTATTTTTCGTGTGATTAAAATGAAACGCCACTATCTATACCTATATTTATATCTATATGTGTGTATGTATGTATGTGTATATATATAGATAGATGTTTAGTGATGTTTCATTTTAATCATAGAAAACTGTGGATTGAGAGGGATTATGTCAAAAAATTGGGAATTTCTTTTATCAGGAAAAAACCAGGATCCCTGCTGATCAGACCCAGATGAAACCCCCCCGGGTGCTTCTAGCCCTGGATTTCACGGGGATTTAATGCAGGACAATGGGGCTGGCTCACTGGAGGAGCCCAGGGGCAAAGGAGAAATCCAGCCTCTGATTTTACCCATGGGGGGTCCAACCCGTGCTGGGCAGTATTTCCTTAACCAGCTGTCATGGGTTCGGAGCAATAAGGACACATTTAAGGCATCCAAGGCAGGTGCATCAGTTGCCCTGGCAGCTGGCATGACTTTGTGGCCACTGGTTTAGAGCTCCCAAGTGTCCCGGTGGCCACCCGCACCCATTTGGGTAAAGCCTTTTTTAAAATTCTTCTTCAACTCCATGCCCCCAGTTTGTCTGGGGCACTGCAGCAGCTCTCTGTGCGGAGAGGCCCTGGGTTCTTTCCCAGAGAGTGCCAGGAGACCGTACCTGTGCTTCCAGCAGGGAAGTGTCCTGCCCAAATGAAAGCAGATATCGGGTGCTCGGCTCTGCCCTCAGATTGGTCATCTCATTGCCACTTAACACACTGCAAAGGATTAGAGCTGGTGGGTTGGGAGAGGTGGGATGAAATTTAACTGCAAGCTCCTGGAGACTGGAAGCACACCTTGCTGGGGTTATTTGACCCCAGCAGTCTTTCCTGCCCAGAGCAGGGGGGCTGGACCCGATGATCTCATGAGGTCCCTTCCAGACCTAAACTTCTGTGAATCTCTGAACTCTGGTTGAAGTTGATGAGGGTTTGGCTGATGAAGGGTTCTGCTGGGCTTTGGCAGAACGGAGGGCTGAAAGACACTTTTTGAATCAAAGTGCTTGCCTAACCCTTAATAATAAAAGTCTGTTTAATAATGGAAGCTGATTAGATAGCCAGCTTGCCTGGGAGTCTGTTCCAGATCATTTTAGGTTTAGAAGGGCCTACTTGTGTTCCCTCTGCTTCAGTACAGGTTTCCCTTGATTTATACTGTACATGCATTCCCAGCAAACAGCGCATACATCGAATTCACATAAAACAAACCCACTTTACATGGTGGTAAGGGAGGGAGTGAGGCTGGGACTGGGGAAGAGGTGCCACTCCCAGGGCTGCACAAGGCAGCAAAGCAGAGGGAACAGAGTGGCACTCACCCAGCCCTGGCTGCAGCAGCTCTGGGAGTAGCTGGCACCAGCTGCCTGCAGCCACTGGGCTGCACTGTGCTCCGCCTGTCCCCACTCACTTCTGCTCCTGGGCTGCGCTGTGCCCTGGTACAGGCAGCTTTTGTCAGCCTCTCTCAGGGCCACTGCAGCCAGGGCTGGGGTGAGTTCTTCCCCCTGTGCCTTCCGGTCTAAATATACTCATTGCATAAGAGCAAATTCGCATATAAAGAACCCGCATAAATTGAGGGAAACCTGTACTGTTACACATAGTTCCTGTTGTAGGGCTTGCCAGTCCAACAAAGGGTATGCAGCATTATTTTCTGCAAGCTCCCGTAAGGGGCTGAATGGAAACAGACTGCCTACTGGCCAGGAGATATGAAAGTAACCTCTTCCAGGTCTGCAAATGGAAGCAGATTAGTGAGAGATTGTAGAATGCAAATGTTTGAACAGGGCATGTGGCTGGGCAGGGATCTTGTGGTGATGATGGTGTGGTCTGGAGCTGCTGCAGTTCTGCTCTGGCCCCAGACCATGCTGTCAGCGCTGCAAGATCCTGGCCCTGGAGCAGCTCCCTGCCTAGCCACACACCCTGCCAGCTCTGATGGAGCTGATCTTCATGGAAACCCTGGCCCTGTGCTGTCACAGCTCAGCTGCTGCTGGGGTCTCTGTGGAAACTGGCTGCAGTGATGTGGGCAGGGGCTGCTAAGAAGTGGGCTCGCCATGGGCCCAATCTGGCCGGCAGGCTGGACTTTGCCTGCCACTGTGCAAGGATGCGGTCATCTAAGTGCATCAGCAGTACTAAACTTTCACTGATTCTGTTGAACAGTTATCAAATGTTGCTAATGTATTAAGTTGGCTTTTGCATAGATACAGTAACAATTATATTGCATCTTTTAAGCAGTTAAGCCACTGATCTACAGACTTGTGCTATAAACATTTTAATAGTTGCATTCCTTCATAGATCTCATTTAATTTTTTTGCATGATTTGCACAGTTGTCTGTTGAACATTTGAGGGAGAGGAGATGAACTGAATTAAAAGCTGCTTGAAAGTTCCTGAGATGACTGAGATTGTGACAGATGCATAGCATATGGTCATGTTGAGGGTACATCTGGGGACTCGCAGATACATTGACCAGTTCAAACTGTTCAGGTGGCTTCAGTCAGTTGTTCCATATTTTTGAGCCCTGTGTTAGAGGTGCCCCGGCTTATACCAAAGAGTAACAACATGGCATATTTTTTTCACATAGCATATGTGAATCAGTGGGGCATGTTTCCATGGTTGTTCTCATGTAGTCCTTGTAATAAAAGATTGTTCAGAAATATCTTCACCTTGCATATCTCCTGGACCATGACTCCATCACTCCAACGCTGTTTGGATTATGAGCGAAGAGAGAAGTAAAGCTAAAACAAGTTTTAAATGTTCAAAACTTCAGAAACTGGGAAGAGGTTTGGGACAAAGGAATGACTAAAGTAAATAGAAAAAGTGTTTAAAGCCAGCTATAAATACTGGAGATCAGATTTTGATATGCTTTATGCTGAGTAGCACTTTGTTCAGTGAGTAGACTCACTTAATTTAAGGAAATTCTGGAAGTGGTCTTCATCCTTAATAATGGATTTGATCTGTTGTCTGTTGTCTGAGGACGTAAGCCTCAATTCTGCAATCCATAAATTAAAACTGTATCAGCATTTAGGAGAGAGGCAAAAGGTTGAGGGCATAATACAGTACCTTGATTGCCTGTTAACTCCAAGGGGTACCAGGGGCATATCTACACCATAGCAGACTATGGTAAGAGGAACAACCATGGAAATGTGCCCCACCTATTCACACATAATGTATGCTTAAAAAAAGAAAATGCCATTTTGCTTCTTTTTGGCATACAACCAGGGCACAGCCAACAGAGTGATCAGTCACATATATGCTCATGGGTGGCACTTGGTACACCTAGTGCCTTTTGGTATGCAGAGCAAGTATTGACAGCTGTGCCTCCCTAGCAATATCTGGTGTGATGCAGACACCGGAATCCTCTCTTTTCAGCTGCTGATGAAAGAAAAACATGTGCAGACTAGAAAGTGATTATCAGGGTAAACTGAATCTATATGCAAAGTGCTGTCAGATGTACAAAATAAAGCTGAAAAAATGCAGGTCCCCCTTTCCTGGTCTATTTTGCTAGAGCAGTCTTTGGCATTGCTTTTATGTTCAGTACAGTACTTGTGTAACTTCTAAAGGATGTTTGGATTTATTTAATTTTTGAATGAAAATGTTCTTTTTAGGAGTCATGCTGATTATTACAAATACCACCCAAGAACATGATTTCTGAATTTTTTTTTTAGTCTTTTGTGTTCAGTGGGCAGCACTTCACGTCTTAGAAGTTTTATCATTTGGTTTCAGTTCCTTTCTCATGTGCTGCCATGACTCTCGCATGCCCAATTCAGGGGCAGTTCACATGTGCTTCTTCCTAGGCCTTTCAACAGGGTATTCATGAGACACAGAAACAACAAGTGGTGAAAAGGGAATAAGCGTCTGAAAGGCATGTCCACTAAGATGAGAGGCTCGGGAAGCAATGGTAGGCTTTAAGAGAGCTGGTACTTTGAATTTTGGGGCCCACACAGGACCATTTTTAACATCCTAAAGCACGGGTACCCAACCTTCTGGCCCTGCAGACCAGATGAGTGGCATGGGATTGGTCTGTGGGTGCAACCCTGCACACTAATCTGTCAAACCAACACAGTGTAGCACACAGGACCATGTTATCCACCCTGCCGGACTCTCCGCAAGTCTCAAAATTAGGCAGTAGGGGAGCAGCAATTGACACTGCCACTGTTCCCCCACCATCCAGTTTCCAGACCTCTGGGGAGTCCAGCAAGCTGGCTGACCCAACTCCATGAGCACCACTATCAGAAGGGGAGTAGATGAACTATTATGTGACAACATTCATAGCTTTGGAAAAAAGTCAATCTGCCATCCCGTAAACACTATTGCCTTTCATGCAGAAATGAACACATCTATTGTTAGTAAGCAAGGTAATCTCAAATTCCCTTAGAAAAATTCTGTATATCTGTAAACAAGGTAAAGGGCTTGGATGCAGGTCTAGACTTTGTAGAACAGCCTTGTATCTCCTATTCTTGTTCTAAGCCCGCTATTTCTCTTGGGGCCTGATTTTTCGTTCCCTCTGAGGTGGGGATTAGAGCAGATCTTTAAGGAAAGAAAGGTAACTACCCATTCTATAACTTCTTGTTAACTCTGCTTCAGCTAACATTTTCATGCCATAATCCCCTCCTTCTCCCTCCCCCCATTCCCTAAAAGTAAGTGAAAATTGATTATTTGCATTGGTTTAATTTGCAGGATTTTAAACTCGTTTTTGGCAGTCCTCAAGGCAGACCAAGTTCTAACTGGCATGGAAGTACAGCTACCATTGTTCAAAGCCCTGGAGACGAAGTTTGGGGAGTAGTATGGAAAATGAGCACTAGCAATTTAATTTCTCTGGATAAGTAGGTGACTTATAATTCCAATGTCTTATGTTGCTTTAGAAAGCAAGCCAAATGCAATGGTTACCTTTCAGCAATAACCAACATGGAGGTTTTGTTTTGACTTAGGAGACTACTTTTGATTCTGAAACATGAAAATAATTCCAGAATAGTCTCTAATGCTTTGACAAATCAATAGCTTGAAAAGCAAAACTGTTGTAAAGAGGGTTTTTAATATGAGGAGGGGACTCTGAACTGTCTGACTGAATTTAAACTTCTGTCACCTTTACATTTTATTTCATGAGCTTTTCCCCTATTTGCTAAGTTTTAAACTCTGCTTCTGAAGGCAGATTTCAAAAGATTGTCAGCAATAGTTTGGGACCTCACCTTAGGTGTTAGAAACAGGAAGAGAAACTGTGCAGAAAAGAACCAGCTATGCAATGCAAGAAAAGGGAACCCTGGGAAATGCCTTTATGTAGCTATTTTCTAAACTTGCAAAGTGTTTTTAAAACTTTCAGATCAAAGCCTCACCCATCTCTGAAATAACTGGATTGATAAATAAGACTGATGTCGTGTTGGTAGTGCTGTTTGGATCTCCAAAATGATGAGCTTGGAAACTGTGATGATGCAGTCAGTCATCCTGATACAAACCTAAAATGTTACAGTACACCTTCAGTGACTCTTCAGACAGTTCAGTTATCTCTGTTGGTTTGACAAAGCACCTTCCAACCCGTGTAGAAGCTGAAGAGCACTGAGGTATTACATCGTCAGTACCTCTGAAAATTAGACCAGGCCTGTGCCGTTCCCTAATCAGGATTTGGAAGCCTAATTTGTGGAGCAAATTTTCAGTAATTTTAGCCAGTGTCCTTTACTGCTTGTTTCTAGTAGCATTGCCACAGCTTTTAATAGCTTTGGCTATAAAACCAAGTCTTCAGCTGGTTTGATTAATGCATATGAGCCTGAAGCTGCAAGAGGATGGGTGCTCTCAACCAGCATTGCCTTCAGCACCTCGCAGGATCAGGTCCATTGTCAACACTTTCAGGATTCAAGAGGGAGAATTTTAATATTAAAAAGAATTGGAATTTAAGTCAGAGCCACAAGTTATCTATTTTGAGTCCCTTTCAGCAGGAAGACTGAAAGTTTCCTACTCTCTTCTGCTTTCCTCTCCTACCCTTAACTGCTTGCATTAGCTCCCATTCTGACCTCCCCTCGCTCTCTCTTGTAATGACTACAGCGTCTTAATTTGCCAAACTCCTAGAACATACAATACTTCCCAAGACTCAAGGTCCCTTACTATCATAGCAGATACTATCACTGCCATCACTTTTGGGGGAGGGGAATTAGTTGGTTAATATTTAGCTCTCATAATTCTAGTTCACATGTGGTAGAATTCCGATTTCTTGTACATTTTTGAGAAACTTTTCATACTAGATAACAGTGCCTGAAAGACTGCACTGGTAAACCAAGTGCCCCAACTGACTTATTCTAGGAGAGGTATGAGCAGTTCTGGCTTCATCTCCCAAACTGCCTTACCAAAGTGTCACAAAAGTGATCTGTAAAGGGGGAGAGACTGTATTTGTGTTGGGTTTTTATGCTTCTTTACGAACTCTAAAGAAACACTTAAAAACCTGGTGCTTATTTTACCACTAGATACTGAAATTTTATTTTTCTTCCTTCATGGAGTAGATATCTTCCTTTTCATCTTCCTTTAGTAGATGACTAGCAAACTAGTAGAACTACGGCAAACCATGAAGTGAAAAGTAATAGAAAAGATAATATTTTATCAAGTGTTTAAAATTCTTTGTGCTTGTGGATGTTACTACAAATGGTTTTCTTTCTTAATCACCAGAGTTTGTATCTGGCTTACTTGGGATTTTGATCTGATAACTTGATAGTGGCATGTTATACGCTATAGCCTAGACTACAAAGACTTGTGTACTTACCCCTGTACACTTCAGATAGTCCCACTGACTTCTGTAGGGCTCTTTATATGTGCACTTATGCACAACAATATGTGGTTGTAAAGTTTTGAACTGAAATTTATTGCTAACAAATTTCCCTGGATTATTAAATTTTCCTGGATGAGACTTCAAACAAAAAATAATAATTTTACTACTTATACTTTTCTCAACTTGAACACTTAAAACAGACTGTCACTCCTGTTTTCTAAAAAAAATGTAGTTTATTTCATGTTTTATTTTGCATGCTCTAGTCAAGGGGTACAATATTTGGGTGACAAACATAGCAAAAGGATCTTGGCATATAGCTGAGTTTTTCTTGGTGTTAGACTTCTTGAGACATTTCTCTCTGTCATAAATCTTGGTGTCTTTGTTCTAAACTTCACAAAATACATCTGAGAGGCACTTAATCTCTTAATTTAAAAGCTGTTTTTTCTGTCCCTTTTCCTGCTTTTTCTGAAACAATCCAGAAATTTGTTTCTAAACTTTACATCATTCTTGTTTGCAGGTACTGACCCTCCAGTTAGCTCCACAGGTCTTCCTGCATTGGCCCAGTTGAAGGGTTGGAATAATTTTATGCTAGCACATTAAGTGACTTTGAAAAGTGACTAGCTTTTTATCTTCAGAAGAAAATATTACTTGTCAAGACCTGTGATATCATTTTAACGAGTATTGTAAAAACCTAGAGAGACATCAAAGTTGTCACCTTCCACCTACATCTAAAAAGTAACTATTCCATTTGAAGCTTGCCTTTAATCTTATGAAACTTTAAATAAGCCATTACTGCTGCTAGTTTCCTAAGACTTTTATATTTTCCTCAGATTTATCATTTTATTAATGGACAACCCCTTACCCCAGAACTTTACTTATAGCAGTTGTGAATGTAACACTGAAACAAAATGGGATACCAATTTTTGCAGTGCTTTCTTTCAGCTTCCTACTGTTATACAAGCTGTACATGCAAGCAAAGAAATTCAAGCACATTGGTGGGTGTCTTGGATCATTGAGTAGCGTGCCCTTTGATAGAGAACTGTGCAAGTCCTCCCTCATTATACTTTGAAATAATAACATATGAAAGATAATTTTGCTATAACTTCATTATCAAAATATAAAGTATCAGTATATGCATTGTTTCTTAATTTTGAAAACTTGGTTGATAATCCACTTATTATAAATTATCAAATATTTTTATAGTAGATATTACCATATGTACCTCTTATCACTTGTGCAGTGTGGGTGGCTGACCTGCATGATTATAGTAATGACTTGTTGTTTGTGATTTGTATCCTTTACAAAATAAGAAAGAAATTCCACTAGCTTATTTTTGGGATATAGAACAAGGATTGCTCCAAAGTACTGAAATACATTTGTTTTTTAAGTACTGCAGCCCAAAAAGCCACCTCAACTTTAACATGATACCAACTCAAATGTTCAAATGCATGGCTTGTTAAAAAAATACACTAATCAAACTTGTATTGCTGTCTAAGTGGTGCAGTATGAAAGAATTGTCATCTTTGCAGGCAAGAGGGAGTTGAAGAGGGTCTGTATGCTCCAATAGAGGTTGATGTTAGTACTCAAGAAGGAAAACTACTGACCTGTCGAAGTTACCAGATGAAAGACTGTGTCTATGATCTTCCATCACCACAGTATAAAAAGGTAAGTGTTGTTGTGAATAATGAACATAAACTGAAATAATGTATTAATTCTTACTTAGAATAACAGTACATATTAACTATTCTCCTCTCTCTCTCTCTCCTCTATTTCTAAATAAATGTGTCATTAATCCCTGTGTACTACTATATTTCACTGTGTACTAGTCAAGGTTTGAAGCCCAGTTTTTAGCTCTTAACATTCAACCTTGACTTATATACCATATTGGCTTCCCCTGTGTGCAGTGCTGGGTTTGGTGCTCAGCTAGTATGGCCCAAGAAGAGCCGCTCACCAGCCGAGTGCTGAGCCCAGCGGCACTTGCAGGGGAGAGGGTCGAGGCTGAGGCCAGGTTCAGCACTCGCTTGGCGTGGCCCAGGCAGCACCACTTGCAGGGGATGGGGGCACACCAACTGAGTGCTGAGCCCAGCCCCATCCCTGTCCCCTGGGAGCGGCGCCAGGCTCAGCTGGCATGCCCCCATCCTCTGCAAGCGGGGCTAACTAAGCTGCGCCAACCGAGTGCTTGTGCTTACCTACAAATCACTTTGTAACTGATGCACGAGCACCAGTGGGATGGCATCAGCAGTTGATAAGCAAATAGTAACTCTAAAAATAGGCTGGGACCGAAAGTTTACTGGACTCAACTGAAACAAAATGTAACCACCTGACCAGAAGTCTGTCAGAACATAGATGTTGTATTTAGCTAATAAAAATGCAGTAGAATTTTTAATGATGCTGAACAGACAGGCACCCAAAAGATGGCACCTCCATCATTGCAGGCCTCCTCTGGGACATTTGTTAATAATAACCCATGGAAGAAAGAGTTCTACCTTGCAATTAAGCATTACTGCTCAGCAGTGCACTGGCTTTTTTTAGAAGCATGGCCTAAACACTGGGCATGTTCTACTTAGCCTAGGAGAGCTAATGAAAGCCTAGCCTGAGATGGTGCGACTGTCTAGAAATGTTCAGCTACATAATTGTAAATAAAATAAAAAAGTTCTCCAGAGTGAGAACAGCTAATTTGGCTTGATCATATGATTCCTATGTATGTGTGTCTCTTGACCTGGGGCCCACCTGTCGGGGAAAGTTTTCATGATCAGTGCTAGGGTGTATACTTCCAGAGTCTGTTTAAAGAATGCTACAACTTGGGAACTTCCTCATGTACTTTCTGGTCCTCTGTTCCCCTTATTTTACTCTCCAGACTACTCTTTAGAGCTGTATGAAGGAATAAATCTCAACTAATACAGCATCAAGATTGAGGATGTAATGTGAAGCTGTTTTTGCTATACTACATGCATAGCAACAATTTCAAAAAAGCACCCTAACTTTTTCAGCCAAGAAAATGATTTTCTCTCCAAGTGCAGTCAGCCTAAGGTTATTTCTCTTGATCTGATTATAGGAAGATGCCTGGGATCAGGGCTTTGGTTTTAGTTCTTTTACATGAGTGGTACTGTTTGCAGAACCAAAAGCTTGTGAGATCAAACTGTTTCACTGTAATGTCATAGTAAGGCAGTGTTTCTTTTTACTTGTAGGTCATCTGCATGGGTGCAAAACAGAATGGATTACCACCTGACTATCAGAAGAAATTAGAACTAATAGCAACCAATGGTTATGCAGGACCAGTGTCAGTCTTTGAAGAAATTGAGGCTGCTGTTAAAAAAGGGAAAACAATAACTTAATAAAATCATAGAAAAGTAGAGCCAGAAGGGACCTCCAGAGGTCATCTAGTGCAACCCCCTGTCTGAGGCAGGATCATCCTTATCCAAACCCATTGTCTAACCCAGGTGTACTCCTAGAGTAATTCCAATTCCACAATGCCTGATTGTTCATTTTGATTTAAGCATGAATTTTCTCAATAGGCTGATTAGCAACTTCCTTTTTTGATAAAGAATGGGGCAGTCCTGGTGTACTTCTATAGGAAGGGACTGGATTCAGCAAGTTTAAGGCCCTGGTTTTGCAAAGGTATGTGTGTAAGTTGGGCTTAACTTCATGCACCATCCAGAAAGCTATGTGTAAATCTCTATGGAATCTGGACCTAATTCTCTGTAATCCCCTTATCGTACTGTTGGTAAAGTTCATTTTGTCACATCCTCCTGTTACCAATCATCATAAAAAAGAAACCAGTTAGTTGGGCAGCTTCCCATTAGGAATATTAAGGCTGCAGAATTGAGCCCCTTGGTTTTTAAGTGTTGTACATTCAGTTCTCCAGTCTGTTTTAAAAGTCCATGGGGGTGCAAAGTAGGAAATTATACTTTTGCTTTTTACTTAACTAACTTCTGTGGAGCAAGACCTTTTCTGGCTGGAAGGTATTAATGTGATT